AGTGCATTAAATCAGTGCATCAAAACTGGAGAAAATGATTTTTTTCAACAAAAGCCACAAGACATTTTTTTAAAAAACCACATAGGTAGGTAAAGAAAGTTGCTTGGACAGCTACATTTGGCTATCCCGATCTGTCCTAAGATTGGGATAGTCAACTGTAGCTGTCCTAAGGCTATTTTACCTACCGACATCCCTCCAAGTTCATCCAATTGTACCCCTGTGCAAATTCTAACACCTGTTCTATTGAAATGATAGAGCCATTGTTCCACAAAGCAGACGTACAAGGTTTGTATATGACGCATCCCACCCCTTGACAGAGTTTTGAGATCTGTAGTTAACGGGGCCATAACTGAGCAAGATGGACAACTGGTCTCACTGATCTGGGATTCCTTACCTTGACTGTGTAGCTCCCATATATGAGTCCATTCTGTAATTAGGAGAAGAGAGGAAAGAAGGAAATTAGAAGCCAGGCACTAATTTAACCTGTACCAAAAAGTGAGTCCCAGAACCAATCCCACCTAGTTCCTCGGCTACATTTAGGCAGCTCACTCCTCTAATGAAGTCCCTAAATTTCAATGGTTCTGAGAGCTGGGATTCAGATGCCAATTTCCGTGCACCCCAAGGGGGGAGGGGAGTCCTTCAAATCCATTCACTCAACCTGCCTAAAAGAGGGCATGGGAATTTGTGTTGACTGCAGAAAACGGGAAGCTGTAGAATTAGAGAAAAAAGAACCTATTTTATACAGCTCAGAGGGGTAGCATGTTAGCTAAACCCACAGAAGCCGAAGCTACAATCTTGCTAGTTCCTAGGTACCCTCAGGCCTTTTCACATATTAAGCAATGAAAAAGCTGAGAAAGGCAAACAGAGGAATAGCACTGGTCCCTTATTCCCTACATGTCCTTACACATAACCAGAATTATCCCTTCCACTTAATTGCAGCAACCATCGTTCTGACCCCTGGAACATTTCTGCCCCCAGCATCTCTGCATATCCCCTACAATCCCACATACTCTCCCCCACACCCCATTCATTTTTCTACTCCCACCCTCAAAACCATATATCTAGGCCTGCCCCTCCTAGATGGCAACATCAAGATCTTTCATCCAGCTTACCTTCCAGGTGATAATTTCTTGCAGCTTGCCAGTCATCGGCTTCCATTTTCTCCCAGCATGCTCCAGTGTTTGCATCTTCCACATCCTTCTCTGGTGCAGTCCCACCACCCCCTCCATGCCCTGCTCCTGGATCATTGATAAAGGACAAGCCCCACTCATTCTGAAAGATGGCTCCCAGGTGCTGCTGCCGGCTGCTGTCAGAGGGTGGGGGACTGCTTGGGGGTGGCGCCAGGACACAGTTGGGGAGGCTGTTGGTGGTGCGGACGGCTGAGGCAGGAACATGGCAGGCTTTCCCTGGTTGATCCAAGTTCTCTTTCAGCTTGCTAGCATAAGAGATCTTAGGAATGATCCGGGCGCTGCTGCTATCAACCGGGAAAGCAGGAAGTGGCCGGAAAAGCGACCATGTTTCCTTCCCAGAATCCTCGGTGGCTGAATTGGTGGCATTTGATGTAACGGCAGGCTTCTCGCCGACTTTGATGGCGCTGTCTCGTTCCGATTCCGGAGATGACGATGGAGACGGTGGGTCAGAATAGCCACGGCGACGGTGCTGCCACCGCCCATTAGAAATGCTTTCAGGAGCGCAGTGGTGGCCGTTGGTGCTGGGTCCCCATTCCTTGCGATCAGAGGGGCTGCCTCGGTAGGTCTTGCGGTAGGCAGCTGCATGGAAGGGCCGGCCATGGTAGAAGCGATGGGGATAGCGGTGGGGGTGGTGGGTGACCGGAGGGTCTCGCTCAGACAATTGGAGGTTGCGGATGTTAAGGCTGTTAGAAGGGCTTAAGGGAACGCTGGGCTCATCGGCGATCTCTGAGGATGCAGAATAGCCGTTGGACTCCCAGGAACCTAGAGCAGAAGGATTGTGGAGTGAACTCAACATCTGGATTGATAACAGATACACACACACAATATTATAGGTTTCCCTCCTCCCTTTTTGAAATTTAGACTGTAAACCCATGAGGCAGAGAACCGCCCCTTCAAGAAAAGCTGTACAGCATCATTTTTGTTGCTGATTTATCACCATCATATTAGAGTCTGCCTTCCTGTAGCACAACAAAACTAGGCAAACAGCTCAACTAACATTTAGGGGCTGCGTTAAGAAAATGTCAGATACCAGGTCACCACAGTATCTAAGCACTGAATGCTGGTATTGTAAAAAAAGGAAAAACATTACTTTAAAGGTGGAAATACATATCCATTTCTCTCCACCCCTGGGAACACTGATTAAAAATCAATCGTACCCTAGCAATTACGGCCGTGTACCCAGAAGGATCCCCTCCTTCACTGGCCAAAATCTTCTTGTCAAGTGTTTTAAACAAAATACTTCTGTCACTGTGCTGCCAACCTCTGAAGATTCTGTCAAGTGTTTTAAACAAAATACTTCTGTGCTGCCAACCTCTGAAGATTTTAAAACCATGATCCAAAATATCAGAAGGGATCACCTTTACACGATTTGGCAAAGTAGTTAGGGCTTTCCAAATGCCATGAGCTTTTTCCCTCTGACACTGGCTTAGAAAATCATCAAATCTAAAGGTACCATTCTTGGTGAAAAGGAATAAAGGGGTATGTGGGTCATGCACCAAAGCTATATATGGGAAAGAGGACAATGTATATTCCTCAACAGCAGCTGTTGAGAAAATCAGACAGATTGAATTAGGAGGTGCATGATTTTTCCAACAGTAAGGCCTGGCTGTTTCTGGGAGAGAAACACACACAAAACAACATGACAGAAGGGGAAAGCCCCAGTCCCAAATTCACCTTCTCTGGAGCCCTGGCTTGGCCTGTAGCCCAGCTCTGCTCCAGCTCCTGCATGACAGAAAGAAGGTTTTACTTAACAGTGACAGGCATTAAGGACAGCTATAACACAGACGTACATTACAAAGGGCAGTAACTCAGACTGGAGCCACTGTACTGGGCTTGGCTCAGTGAGAAACAGAAACTGATTCTCTGGGACCAAAATGTAGTATAGTGAATTCAGAGTTACCAAGGAGGAGTAAATGACTGTGGATGCCCCTGGATTCTGTGGAAGGGTTAGGGTGGCTAGTGAATAACGGCAGGGCCTTTCATACTAGGCAATCTGGCTGTACCGGGGAGGGGGGGAGGAGGAGATCTGCAGCCATGGTAATCTGTCTCAAATGCAGTTCAGGCATGGAGTGAGAGATGAATGCATTCCAGAGGTGCATTTCTCTTTCCCAAGAAAAGGAGAGGGGCACATCTTCATGTGCTGAGAAATTTGAAAACTCTTCTACTATGAATTTGGGGCTTGCATGGAAAGACAGTGTGGTGTAGCGGTTAAAGTGTCAGACTAGGATCTGGGAAATCCAGGTTCAAATTCCCACTCGTGCCATGGAAGCTTGCTGGGTGACCTTGAGCCAGTCATATCCTCTCAGCCTAACCTACCTCACAGGGTGGTTGTGAAGATAAAATGGGGGAGAGGAGAATGATGTAAACTACTCTGGGTCCCAACTGGAGTGAAAGGCAGGGTATGGATAAAATAAATTTTAAAACTAAATAAAGATACCTAGGTGGGGTGAGAATGGAGAGGGACAAAGAAGTGTGAAAACTCTGAAGTCTCTGGGGGGTAAAGCAATTTTTCTAAAACTAAAATCTTTATCAATGGTAAATTGCTATACTCTGAATGCTCAGGAACCTGGATTTTTAAAATCAACCTAAGACGTTCTATGGCATCAGAGACCAAGCATGGAATGCCAATATTTGTTACCTGTCCGGATGCGGTTGCTGAGGCTGTGGCATTTCTCCTTCTTTCCCCCCAGAAGACGCAGCTCTTCCTCAGGGTTGCGGTTCTCATCCATGCCCAATTCCTCTTTCTGCATGGTCTAAAGCTAGTCTTGGATGCAGGTAGCCGACAGCAGAGGACCCCAAGGATGTGAAAGGCCTGACTACAGCACTGTTCCAAGCCTACCCCTGTTAAGAAACAGTGCCTAGCCAATCTCCCCCCGCCCTAAAAACTAGTGGCCTATTTCTAGAAGTGGCAAAGCCAAACTGAAGCACGCACACACACACAGCAAAGATGTCAGCCCGACTCCACAGATTTCTCGAAGGACGACCCTAAGAAGCCTTGCGATCACACTTCAGAGGAAGAAAGGGAAATCTCTAGTGCCGGGATAGAGACTCCTTTTCCCCTGCTGTAGCTTAAGCCTCAATTACCTAACCTAACCCTCAACAGACGCGCCACTTACAGCCTAATGTGGAAAGCGAACAAAAATCAAATTATGAGTTGCCCCTCAACCTTCCTTCAGGTGCCCGTCTTTCCTATAAGTACCCCCGCCCCCCACACACAGAGCTTTCACGGACCCACACCGTAGAGGGGTTTCCTTCCCCACAGCCTCCAGGAAAGCTCTCAGTTCGCGCCAGGGGCCCTTCCTTGTGCTCCTCCGCAACCTTCGCCGAGGCACTCTAGACCAACAGAGCGCTTTCGAAACCCGAATTCCAGCCTTCGCTTCTCCCTGGGTGGGTCACCGACCTCCCTCCCAGCCTTTTGATTCGAGCGAGGCCCCGTCCCGCCCAGAGCCTTTCCGCGCAAACGTGAGCCTTCCCGGCCCCCCTCAACGCGACCAGGGAGCTCCTCTGCGAACAGCGCAGGTCCCGAGGAAGGCCCCGAACGGCGGCGTCCCCTGCCTTCTGCCCCAGGCCCCAAGCGCGCCCGCTCGCCCCTGGCCAGCCGCCCCCTAGCTGCACTGCGGCCCCCTCGGCTCCGATCTCGCACCCGCCCTCCACCGCTCTCAGGCCCAGGCTACCCCGAAGCCCGCCCGGCACATTCACCCAGCCAGCCAGCCCCCGCCACGTGACCGTTTCCCCCTTTGGCCTCCTCTGGTCATGTGACTCGCGGAGCACCGCGGCTTCCGGGGAGGTAGTCGTCGCACGTGACATGGCGCCTGTCATGTGACCTCGCCGTGGTCATGTGGCCCACGGGCGTCTTCCTCCCCCCCAATGGCCGGTAGCCCGCTCATCCTCCTGTCATCCTGAGGAGAGATGGGGTTGGTTCGTTTGAATTGTTGACGGGGTGGGGTGACTCCTTTTAAATTATTTTCCTTTAAAAATTTCAGCCCGTTAGGTGGCAATGTAGCCTTCTGACTTTTCTTTCTACTTTGATTAATGGAATGGCCCAACTTTCTGATATGCCTTGCAAACTTGCATAAGAATTTGTTCTTCCTGCATAAAGACTGTTGATTTATTAACTGTATCCAGACTTGTTCAACAAGTAGAAAAAATGGTTTTTGGAGTTTCAAATTAGAAGACTCGCAAAACAAGTATATTATCTGGAGGTTTCGTCACTTTACTGCTTTGGACCTTCGTTGTACATATTATACTATGGTTTGTATGGTTTGTTTGTTTTTAAACCCCCAAGAGGGTAATTTTATTGGTTTTTCAATAGACTACATAACTACAACAGAAAATAAAGGAAGGGGGACTACAACTAGGGATAAAGAAAAGATTTTTGTTGTTGTTCAGTCGCACAGTCGAGTCCGACTCTTCACGACCCCATGGACCAGCTCCCTCCAGGCCCTCCTGTCTTCCGCCATCCTTTGAAGTTTGCTCAGTTTCATGTTCGATGCATCTATGACACTGTCTAACCATCTCATCCTTAAGACCCAGTGAGTGCTCCCTTCTCATTTGATGGCCAAAGTATTTGAGCTTCAGTTTCATTATCTGGCCTTCCAGGGAACAGTCAGGGTTGATTTCTTTTAGGATTGCCTGATTTGATCTTCTTGCAGTTCAAGGGACTCTCAAGAGTCTTCTCCAGCACCATTGTCCAAAAGAATCTATTCTTCGGCGCTCGGCCTTCCTTATACTCCAACTCTCGCAGCCATACATGACTACTGGGAATTCCATTGCTTTGACCATGCGGACTTTTGTTGGCAGGGTGATGTCTCTACTTTTGATCATGCTGTTTAGGTTCGCCATCGCTTTCCTCCCAAGGAGCAGAAGTTGACCATGACTTCCAGGTACACACACACAATTGTTGTTCAGTCGCACAGTCGAGTCTGACTCTTCGCGACCCCATGGACCAGATCACGCCAGGCCTTCCGGTCTTCCACCGTCCTCTGAGGTTTGCTCAACTTCATGTTCGTTGCATCTATGACACTGTCTAACCATCTCTTCCTTTGCCGTCCCCGTCTTCTTTGGCCTTCAATCTTTCCCAGCATCAGGGTCTTCTCTAGTGAGTGCTCCCTTCTCATTGGGTGGCCAAAGTATTTGAGCTTCAGCTTCAGTATCTGGCCTTCCAGGGA